TTTTTAAAAAAAAAAAAAAAAAAAAAAAAAATACCTGTGCGTTAAATTTGAAAGAGAAGTTGAGCTTCTGGTTGACTACTCGATGGCATAGAGCATGTAGAGATTGCCAGCATCACTGCCTGGTGGTACCAAGGAGTGAGTCGGCGGTAGAACACTGAAGCCCAAAAACATGAAGGTACGAACCAGCATTGCTAAACCATAACAACAAAATGTTTTAGACGAGAAATTTTTTCCTCCATAATCATTTTCATTGGAGTCAAAGAACGGTTGACGACAAGTACCTCGATCCGCTCTGTCTTTACGCAGACAAATGATGATATTTATACATCGTAATGTTTCTTCAGCATACTCCAGGAGAGAAACGAAGCCTTCTTTTGAACCTTCAGGTAAAAGGCAGCTTGGCACGCGAATATAAAGACAACGACGCCATACTACTGTTTCCCATTCGACAGATGTGCTTTCCGTCAAATGCAAAGTAAAAGTTAAGCGCAATGATTCGCTATTTCGTACAGCTTTCAATAATTCATCCTCCTAAAAAAAGTTTAAAATTATATAAATTAAATAAAGTTTAAAACTATATAAATAAATTTTACTATTTTATAATTTATAATTATAATTAACAATAATATTATAAAAGAAGAATAAGTTTTATTTTATTATGGTTTATATATATTTCAATAATATTATAGCCAATATTATAGTAAATAGTAAATAATAATCACAACATAATAATAAAAAGTAATCAGAATTAATAATTAAGGATACATACTTGTACAATATGGGAGCTCACAGAGAGCTGACTCTGCTTGATCCCCACGCCGTGGCTCTCTGTGTTGACTGTAGATACAGACAATGCGGCATGGGGCACATCAGGACCACCACAGAGGCCCCACACCCAACGTTATACAATAATGTTGTTGAAATCTAGATCCTTCTTCTAAACTTTCATCCATACATTTACTTGACATGTCACTGTAATTCCATGTAAAACCAACTTTAATATTTCATACATGTTAAATATATTTTAGATAAAAAGACTTTGATTAAATTTTATCATGTTGACAATAGAAATTAGATATTTAATTCTTCTTATTAATTCTTTAATTCTTTATTATTAATTTTACTATTAATTTTAATAATAATAAAAATCAATATTATTATCAATAAAATTATTATTCAAAAATT